TTGAAATGAACAAAACAATAGTTCAAATGAACATAAATAAAGAAGTGTTTGTCAATGCAGTTGAAAAGTTGCTAGATATCAAAGAATTGTTCAAACAAAGGCTTACAAACGTTTTTACAAACGAATCCAGAATCCTTTAGCATTGATACCTAAAAATTGAAAGTGTGTTGGCAAAATGTAGAATTCGACTGATATTTGGAAGTGTTTCAGATTTTTTAAGGTGTACTTACAAAATTATTTCACAAAAGATTCAGTTTTTGAGGCACCTAGCGGACAAATTCAGAACTTCATTCCTCCAAGCAACGCGTACGATCATATAAATATATTATTCATCATATGAAATTTTTATTTTTTAAATGCTAAAATAGGATAAAAAATTACACATTTTGGAAAAGAAAGTTCTACTGCAGGGTAGCAAACCCAAGTGTTTTCAAGTCTTTGTAAAGCGTTTTAAAGCCTGGTGCACTATATAGGTTTAAGGGTGTTATTTTTTATAGTTAAGAATTGTATGAATCACATGAACATCACAGCTACAAACTTGTGTGTTTCTGATTGATGAAGAAGTTATTCAAGTATTATTGCGGATTGCCTATTGGTGATTATTTTACAACCAAGATTATATATCTAATTGTCACGAGGAAATTAAGACAAGTTAAAATCCTTGGTTGCGTCTAGGTGGAGTGTATTCCATTAAAACCTAATTTTTGTCAAATTTTTAATTTTTTCTCTTCACATGATAGTTTCTTTTGGAAGAAGACCAAAAATATTGTTTAAACACTGTTAGGCAGCTGCAGCGGCGGATTGCTTGCATTCGAGATAAGGGGGTTGAGTTTACTAATAGTTATACCTGGAATCTCAGAGAATTCCATTGATCATAGGTAATTAAAATGTTCTCTATGATTTCTTTTTCTAGAATGATCGATAAAAGTGCGTGGGATTTATTTTATAAATGCAAAAAAAAGGATAAAAATTACACCTTTTGGAAAAGAAAGTTTTGCTGCAGGGTACCAAAACCCCCGTGTTTTCATATCTTTTTTAAGCGGTTTAAAGCCTGGTGCACTATAGGTTTAATGGTGTTACTTTTTATTTAGTTAAGAATTGTATGAATCACATGAACATCACAGATATAAACTTTTATGTGTTCCTATAAATTGATGATACAAGAAGTTATTCAGGTATTATTGCCTATTGATGATTATTTTACAATCAAGATTATATTCTTAAAATTCAGTGATGGTGATGGACCAAACCTCTGTAGAGTAAAAAAGTAGATGTTAGTTCCACATTTATTGAAAATATATTTCGGTCTGGGTTTATCTAAAGATCTTGTTGTCTGTCCTATATATTGTAGTTTACAGTGTTTACATGTAATACAGTAAACTACATTTCTGGTCTTACAGTTGAAAGTTCCATTAATCTCAATCTTCTTGCTGGTATTAGAGGATTGTATAACTGCTCCAGGCTCTATGTAGGGACAAGTTGGGCAATTTAAACCACAAGGTTTCATACCAGGTATTAGCCTCTTTGGCCTCATTCTAGGAGGATCTGGAATTCTGGCTCGGATGAGTTTATCCCTGAGATTAGGAGGTCTCCTATAGGTAACCATAGGTGGATTTTGAAAAACCTCCTTCATCCACAGGAGGTTAAGACAAGTTGAAATACTTGATTGCATAGGTAAAACCTAATTTCTGTCAAATTAAAACTTTTTCCCTCCACATGATAGTTTCTTTTTACAACAAGGCCAAACAATGTTGTTTTAATCACTTTTAGGCGCCAACGGATGGATATGCCGAGGGGGTGGAGGCTAGTTAACTAGTTCTCTGACCTCAAAGAATCCTTTAATAGCAAACCAAAAAGCTTTCTATGAATACATTACACTTAATTGATATTTTAATTACAGCTGATAGCTTAACGAAAACACAGTATCTTGGAATAGCGATAAAAATGTATGGGATGACACATTAATCCCTCTAAATAATTCACCACCAACAAATTAGCACTTTTTAATCTGTCATTCATTGAGTAGGATGATTTAAGATCTTATCTAAATAAAATACAGAACAATCAATTTCTTTGCATTGATACCTTGAAAATTGAAAGTGTGTTAGCAAAATGTAGAATTCAACTGATATTTGGAAGTGTTCCAGATTTTTTAAGGTGTATCTACAAAGTTGTTTCAGGAAAGATTGAATTTTCAAACAACCTTCTGAGACACCTAGCGGACAAATTTGGAACTTCATTCCTCCAAGAGACCCGAATCATATATATATATTTTTTATTATATGAAATATTTTGTTTTTAAATGCCCAAAAAAGGGTAATAAATGACACATTTAAAAAAAGAAAGTTTTACTGACGGGTTGCAAACCCAGGCGTTTTCATCTTTGTAAAGGTTTTATAGCCCAGTGCAAGGTTTACAAATGGTGTTATTTTTTTTAATTATAGTTATTTAACTAACTTAAGAATTGTATGAATCACATGAACTTCACAGCTACAAACTTATGTGTTTCTGATTGATGATACAAGAAGTTATGCAGCTATTATTGCCTAATTGGTGATTATTTTACAATCAAGATATCTTTGTTACCAGGAGCAGGGGCGTATTCAGGAATTTTTCCAGGGGGGCTTAAATCTTTTTATCTTTCCAGGGGGGGACTCAGCACCATGCATTGTGGCCTGAAAAGCCCCTGTCGAAATCAATAGATTTCATTGGTCCAGGGGGTGGCTTAGCCAAATTTAAATTTTTTTCCTCAACATGATAGTTTCTTTATGCAAGAAGGCCAAAAATGTTGTTTAAAACACTTTTAGGCGGCCAACTGATGGTTTGCATTCGAGAGATTGATAGGCCGACGGGAGAGTTTAAGTTTACCAATAGTGATCTGATCACAAAGAATTCATTAATTAGAGGTAATATAAAATCTCTCTTTGTATTCATTTGTAAAATGTTGTTTTAAACACTTTTGGGCGGCCAACGGATGGTTTGCATTCGAGAGGGAAAGAATTTACTAGTTCTCTAACCCATGAGAATTCTTAGAATAGAGCCACCCAAAAGGTTCTCTATGATTACATCAAGTTAAGAGTGTTCGAGGTAATTGTTTATACCCTCAAAATAAAATGCAATTGCCTAGCAGACTAGCAGACCCACTTAGCAGATGATTTAAACAAGTTCTTTACTAATTAGGAAGATTTCAGAACTTTATTTAAATAAGATACAGAATTCAGTCAATTTGTTTGCATTGATACCTAAAATTTGCAAGTGTTTTGGCTAAACGTAGAATTCAACTGATATTTGGAAGTGTTGCAGATTTTTTAAGGTGTAGTTACAAAGTTGTTTTGCAGGAAAGATTGAATTTTTAAACAACCTTTCTGAGACACCTAGCGGACAAATTCGGAACTTCATTCCTCCAAGCAACGCGTACGATCATTACTAACTTACTCTAATGTGTAAGTGGGAGCTTTAAGGAGGGGTGTACTCCAATAAACATGAAATTCAAGAAACAACTTGATAATTCCATTTTGATTTCCAATAATTGATAAATGACATAAAGTGCATAAAAAGAGTTTACATTTTGTGAGCTTTTCAATTTGTATCTTTAGAATTCAGGGATTTATTTAACATGGCATAAAAACTGTTTTGTGTTTTAAACTGGACAAATCTTTTCAGTAACACCTTCAATTTTAAAGACGCACAATAGTGGTAAACCTCGCTTTGGATATCCCAAGATCGTCCCATGTTTGACGTATAATATAATTCGAGGTTGCGTGATTTATAATATGATCAATGTTTTGTTTTCTTACACAGGCTACAACTGCAGTTTATTATAGATACAGTGTCCCACAAAACATGACAGTAGCACGATGACTTGAAAGTCGTCTAAAAACTTTGAATTTAATTGCGACGGTCATCATGATTGTGCATCATATTACGCAACATGCGCAAAAAAGTTAGTAGGATAGGTGTGGGGGGGAGTATAGGCTCTTATAGATAAATTTTATTCTTACAAATCTCTATATGTTATTAAGGACTATCGAGCCCTCCACAAAATCACTACCAAGATGGTTCCTGAGAATACAACATCAAGCAACAAGTAAGTAAGTAAATGTAATTCATGATTGAGATTTTGACTTATTTATTAAAATAAAAACCAGAACATTCAAGATGATCCAATTTATACACAATAATTAAACTTTTGTGTTTTGGCAAACTGTACATTCCAGCGATTTAGAATTGTATTAGAAGAGTTTTAATGTTTTTCTTCACGTGGTTTGGAAAGGGATACAATTTGTGCATTTCAAGTTGAGACACCTAGCGGACAAACTCGGAACTAGAGCGTGACTTTCTCTTAGTCCTGACCACTCTTACAATTTTTATTTGTAATTAACCAAGGATAAAAACCTATTATCAGTCATTAGTCAAATTTAAATTTTGTCCCTAAACATGGTTCTGTTTAAAAGAAGGCAATTTTTTCTTCATTCCAGGGGGGGCTCAGCAACCGGGGCCTCAACACCCCCTGAAATCCATAGTTCACTGGTTCAGAGGAGGGGGGGGGGCTGAGCCTCCATAGCCCCCCCTTCGCCTATATTGATTTTACTGGGGTTAGGCCCAACAAGTACTCAACCATCCCGATGGAAAAAAGGTAAGCCCCGCTGTACAAATTCCTGACTACAGCTCCCAAGAAGGCCAATATTGTTGTTAAGTTAAACAAATTTCTGGGCAACCAACTGTGGTTTGAATTCGAAGAGGGGATATGTCAAAAGAGGAGGGGGGGGGGGGGTTGAGTTCCAACTACATATTTATATATTAGATTACAGCTGCTCTACAATGTAATTAGTAAACTCTTTCATATTTAAAGTTGTACACCCAATCTGAATACAAAAATATATATAATAATGAATAAACTAAGTTTCTGTCTGGTATAATACCCGCGGCAATTTGTGCTGATCTATAAATGCATGCCTGTCTTACATTTAAAAATAATCAACAAAATATTTTTTTAACAGATTTCCATGATTTCATTGGAACATTTCCAAAAATAAAAATAAATGTTTTGAGGCAAATTTGATTTAAATTCTGACCAGTCAGCTGTCATTAATTAACCAATTCCCCGTCAGAATGTCCACAAAATAGTGAGGACTCCGGAAGTGACTAGAGCATGTCCAATTCACATGAAGGTACTTAAATACTTTTTAACCAATTTAGCTGAAAACTTGGTTTCCATTCTAGGTTTGCAGTTGAAATAACCATTGCATAATTATACTAAAGAGCAAATAATAATGGGAACAATTTCAAGATAAAAACTCCACCCTTTACAAATGAAGGGCCAATAGAAATTACAGAACCAGTCATTAGTTTGAAATAAATTATTATTATTTAAAATGATAAGATTCCAAATGTGCAAATGCATACATCTTTTAAAATGCTGTTATAATTTTAGATGATCCTTGGCGGAAATGCTCGATTCACAACCCGGTACTCTTTGATCCTTTATCTGGTCAATTCTAAGAGAATTTAATTCAGAACGTTTCCTTCATTGTCTCTGCAAGCTGAAATCGTTTGTGAATCGGACTGCCACTCAATATTTTGTCGCTTTGAGTTTACAATATTCTCTTCAAGTTTATAAATTTCACTCAGCTGTTCGATAAATAATAAAATCATGTTTAAAGAATATATATTAACCCTGTAGATCTTTTTTCTAATACAATCTAGATTGGTCAATGGACAGGACAGGGTGTACCCAGTATATTCTGAGCCACCCTGTACAAATATAAGTATATGCCACAGGGTCCCGGTTTCTTCGGACACCCTGTAAAGTGAATTTTTTATTTGATGCGTCACTACATCAGAACTATCTTCTTAAAGGGTCTGAATTAGCGCAATTTCACGTGACCAACCAATCAAAGATGTCCATGCCCTATTTATTCCCTTGAAACCCTAACTGGATATAAAATGTGAAGATAACGTCAAATTGTTTAATTCTGTGATCTTCGCTATTGTTTCTTATACGCAAGAACAGCAGAAATACAGAGAAACCGGAAATGAAAATAAACATTTACAAAGAAACAAAAGCTCTCGTACCTAATTCATACTTGATCAAACAAAGGTTTCAAGGGTACTCTGAAAAACGGAATTGTCATCTTAGCATGGAGGGTCACATGAAACTGCGCTTACAGCCCCTTTAACATCTTACAATAGGTACGTGCTGAATGAACAAAATATTAAACACAACTTAAATTAATTATCTTTTATATAATTTAACATATTACAAAAACTGGACCTCGTAGAAATTATAATTACATTTGTCAACAGGTGGGTGGGATTTTGTGATACTTTTCTCACTAAAAACATGGGTCGTTATTTTTCTTAATTATTCATAAGAAAAAAGGTCGATGAGTACAGAAAAACGCCCCCAATAAGGGGTAATATGTAATGAACTGCAGCCAATCAAAGATAAGAATACTATTTGTAAACAAAGTAGTTTATCACCACCAGAGTCTAATGAGATTGACAGGTTGTTGGCACAAATGAAAACGCGAGGATGGAACTGTGTGAATTTTATGAATAAAGCGAGAGTATATATTTATCTACAAGATTTTTGCTCATTTTCTTTTAGAAATGTTTGGCGGGAAAATAAACGAGTTTGATATCTAAGTGTATAAAAGCAAGCTTTTATCATAAATCCTCTTCCCACTCCCCAAAAAAGGTAAAAAATATTTCTCTCCTACCTAGGAAATATCTTTAAAATATATATCCCTCTGGAAATTAGAGAAACAAAAGGTGATGAGATAATAACAAATTTATAACTTAAAACAATGCTCGAAGCAAGTGAGATTTCATAGACAGCACAGAATCAAGTTAGGAGATGTTTAAAATTGAAAAATGTATTTATGCGTCATCAATAATAATCTTTCAACCAATAACATTAATTCATTTTTGGACACAAGCTTGCTGGACGGTGGGTGGGTGGGGGGGACAAGTTGTTAACTTTCATTGGAAAAAAAAATAATTTATTTTTCAAAACCATTTAATTTCTATTTTCTCTTGGATAAAATCAATGGATAGTCGTCTAAAGTTTCTATTGCATTAAAGATAGTCGGTATAAGGTGTTGTTAGATTTTAACTGTAAAAAAATACATCTATGTTTGAAAATCTCATTTTTTTCTCATTTACATTTAGCTATGTTGTTACAAAAAAAACAATATCAATTGTACATTTCTAATATTACATTCTTCAATTACATATAAGTATAGATATATATATATATATATATATAAGTGTACAGTTTACTGTTGTACAGTATTACATGTACATCAGCTGACAATCTACAAAGTATGTACAAAAACTTTTATTTTGATTTGAAACCACGAGTGTTACTGTAAACGTAACTGCAGTACTTTAGTCAGGATGATTGTTTTTGTTTATTTCCGTACTGCAGAATCTGGAATACTGATTTTAAGTACAAGGATTCTGTACTGCAGAACCTGGATTATTGCAATTAGAAGATTGGAAGAACATCAGCGAGAACAAAAATCTGTCAAGGTACATAAATAATATTATTTTGTCTAGGATTTTAAAATACAAATGTTGATGGAAATCAAGTGAACCTCCATTTACAGAATTGCATGCACAATTTACAACAGTGCTCTTTTAAGCTATATCTGGGCAACAAAGAAAACCATTTCGTCATTTTAGTTTTCAAAAAAGTGTTGAAATCTGACATTTTTCTTTACTCAATCTACATATTCACCAACTCTTTTAAGCTTCAATTTTCTTGGATTTGCTTGCACAAACATTTCAATGATTTTCTCAGTAGTGAGCCATAAGTGCAATATATATATATATATATATAAGTGTACAGTTTACTGTTGTACAGTATTACATGTACATCAGCTGACAATCTACAAAGTATGTACAAAAACTTTTATTTTGATTTGAAACCACGAGTGTTACTGTAAACGTAACTGCAGTACTTTAGTCAGGATGATTGTTTTTGTTTGTTCCGTACTGCAGAATCTGGAATACTGATTATAAGTACAAGGATTCTGTACTGCAGACTGTACTGTACTGCAGAACCTGGATTATTGCAATTAGAAGATTGGAAGAACATCAGCGAGAACAAAAATCTGTCAAGGTACATAAAAAATATTATTTTGTCTAGGATTTTAAAATACAAAATGTTGATGGAAATCAAGTGAACCTCCATTTACAGATTTGCATGCACAATTTACAACAGTGCCCTTTTAAGCTATATCTGGGCAACAAAGAAAAACCATTTCGTCATTTTAGTTTTCAAAAAAGTGTTGAAATCTGACAATTTTTCCTTCAGTATCTTCTTAAATCCGTTGGTAACTTTTACTGAGAACCCATAATTGAAACTGATCAATTTACAGATCGAATAACGACTTTATGTTTCTTATTGTTACTTTGACATGCATTTTAAAGCACCATTGTCAATCGGACATGCCACTCTGCGAATAAAGGGTCAATCGAAATTATGTTTATAAGCCGTTTCTTAGGCTGTATATATCACAAACAGGAAACTCGGGAGTTACGTTAAACCAAGGTACTAATGCAAGGAATGTTATTTCAGAGGTGCACGCATTTTTTTGTACTGCAGTGTACTGTCTTTGGGCGGAAAAGTAAACACAAGACGGATTTAACTGGTTGACATGGAGTCCATTTTCACAAAAATATTTTAAGAAATATTCTGGTCATAGGATACTATTATGTGAATTTTCAAAATTATCAAAATTAAATGCTTTTAACCTCCTCGGATACTAAACGAACACTGATGCATCTATTCTTGCTTACAAAGTTCGCCCAGAGAGAACTGGTTTCAATATGTACGGAGAGTATACGCAACCACAAAAACTTTCCTTGCATTAGTACCTTGTGTTAAACTATACTCTGCTAAATTCCTGCCTCTAGTCTTTAATATGCATTGTGGTAGGACGGTAAATACATGTATTATATATTGTTTTATGTTCCTGCCTAGTAAAGTCCTTTGTCCTGTTTAAGCCAGGAGCCTGGAACCCATTGTGGTTCTCTTTCTAACAGATTAATCTCCTCTACTAAACTCTGGTATGCTCGGTCAGGATCACTGAAATTAAAAATAACTTTTTTAAAAGGTGCTTAAGGATCACTTAAAATAAACATAAAATTTAAAATCTTTTTCTTAAAACTACTTAAAGGGAGTGTTCGCAAAAAATGAAATGGGGGTTAGGCTGATTCCTTAAAAATTTTGGATTCGATCGCCACTAATTTTACTTCTATCTGTTGCGCCTGGAAAAAATTATTGAAAACGAAAATCCCGTTACTTAGTTGCGTTATTCCATTCAAACCGTCAATGATTTAATTAAATCTAAAATCAGAATCACTGAATTACAAAATGAACTTTTCAAACTACTAAACTCTGACAAAGGTAGTCAAGTTTGGTAAACTCTGTCTAAAAGAATTGTATTTTCTTAAAAAATTATTCCCCTCCCCCATGTTAGGTATGTTTGTGCAGAGAGCATTTAGAAAAAAAGTTGTATCGGTTGAATTGGAAAAATAAATAATCCTGAGGGGAAAAAATGAAAAATAATTTTAAGAAGAAAAAAATAATTTTTGGGGTAACAAATTAGGAAAAAAAACTTGATAGTATTATACCTGTAAATGATGATCATATCGAAGTAGTGTCCATATCTCTCCTCCATCTCCCGAGCTCTCTTGATGATGTCCTCCAGCTCCTCGTCATCCACCTGCTCCAGGTTTTCCATCTTCCATCTTATCAAATATATAAGGATTTACGTCAGTCAGTCAATCATTATTTTCATATCCATAAATCATTTATAAATTCGCCCATCTTTCCTTAAATAAATAAAATTTTTAAAGACGTCATACTCTCAAAGTCCAACAAAAACACAAAATAATCAGTTACTTAATAAACGAATATGTCAATCAGTCAATAACACAATAAATCCATCAATCAACCAGTAAGATAATCACCAACCAGTCTGTTGAGTCACTCAAAATCTAATTGTTTATAAATCAACCAACAAGATCAATCAATTAACTTGTGTTTTCGCATTAGATGGTCAACTGGCTGAAATTTTTTGAGGGATTTATCCTGGTGGTCACATCGGCTGAAGCAGTGTTTAATTTTTTTAAAAATTCCACTACCGGGCTTTAGCTTAGGTACCTTTTTACTCCTTTCTTACCGTTTAAGCTGCACAAGCGAAGGAGGTGCTACGAATACAACATAGGGCATCAGGTCACTGTTCTTCAGAATACGGAGAGACTAAACACAGCAGAATAATAATTAAAAAAAAATGTAACTATAAAAATTTGACAACAGAGAATAAAATCCAAAATCTTTCAGAAGTTTGAGAAGGAAGATCTGCATTATTTTGACATCAATTTTTCATTGCAGTGCCATGCTGTAGAGAAAACATCTACGACGTACATTTCATTGTTTCACAATTATAGCAATTTAAAAACAAAGGCGGTCCTAGCTTTACTATCAGTGTAAATAACAGGTCAGGTAGTCTGACCCAAATTGGTTCTGGGAAGAACTCTATTTTGTTTCTCTATATTTTCACCCCTGTTTAGACTGCAGATCGTAGTTCCCAGTACATGAGGGTGTAGGTTGAGAACACATATTTAGGTTTACAACAGTACCTGGGGGTGTAGGTTGAGAACACATATTTAGGTTTATAACAGTACCTGGACGGTGTAGGTTGAGAACACATATTCAGATTTCCAACAGTACCTGGGGGTGTATGTTGAGAACACATATTTAGGTTTACAACAGTACCTGGGGGGTGTAGGTTGAGAACACATATTTAGGTTTATAACAGTACCTGGGGGTGTAGGCTGAGAACACATATTTAGGTTTACAACAGTACCTGGGGGGTGTAGGTTGAGAACACATATTTTCTCCAGGTTTACAAAAGTACCTGGAGGGTGTAGGTCGAGAACACATATTTAGGTTTATAACAGTACCTGGGGGTGTAGGCTGAGAACACATGTTCAGATTTCCAACAGTACCTGGGGGTGTAGGATGAGAACACATATTTATGTTTACAAAAGTACCTGGGGGGTGTAGGTTGAGAACACATATTTAGGTTTATAACAGTACCTGGGGGTGTAGGATGAGAACACATATTTAGGTTTACAACAGTACCTGGGGGGTGTAGGTTGAGAACACATATTTTCTCCAGGTTTAAAAAAGTACCTGGGGGTGTAGGATGAGAACACATATTTAGGTTTACAACAGTACCTGGGGGGTGTAGGTTGAGAACACATATTTTCTCCAGGTTTAAAAAAGTACCTGGGGGTGTAGGATGAGAACACATATTTAGGTTTACAACAGTACCTGGGGGTGTAGGTTGAGAACACATATTTTCTCCAGGTTTACAAAAGTACCTAGGGGTGTAGGTTGAGAACACATATTTAGGTTTACAACAGTACCTAAGGGTGCAGGTTGAGAACACATATTTAGGTTTACAACAGTACCTGGGGGTGTAGGTTGAGAACACATATTTTCTCGGGGGTGTAGGTTGAGAACACATCTTAAGGTTTACAACAGTACCTGGGGGTGTAGGTTGAGAACACATATTTTCTCCAGGTTTACCACTGCCCTGATAGCTTCTAGACTAGTCCCATAGTACGCCTTCTCGTATTCTCCGTGTTCTACAAACCTTCGGGCCAGAATATCCTGCTCAAACTGCAACCTAGAGAATAAAATCTTGTTTATTATATCCGTGAATAGTTATGTGCATTACGTTCGTTTTGCGCCTTTATTTATTTTAAGTGTCAAATAGTGTAAGAAGGGACAATTTTTAAAAATTGTTTATTCCTAACATTTGCTTCTTTTTAATTCAATTTGCCAAAATTTTGCCCCGACAGAAAACGTATGCAAAAAACAAACATTAAATTTAAAATAATTACTATTTAAATATTTACTTTTCGAAAAAAACCAGAAACAAATAAGATTTAATGCAGTTCTGTCAACAACGAGAGAAGCTGAAAGGCCTATCCAATTATATGCAAGCTAATTCAATTCAAATTTTAGAAAGTTAAAAATACTTTTTTTAGTTCGATTTATTTTCTTTGTAATTTGAGAGGGAAATGCGGTTTTTAGCAAAAGAACAAGAAATGACGTTAACAAAAATGATAAGTGTCCAAGTTAGAAAACTTGCAATATCTCACTCACTGTTACTTCAATAAAAGTTTGACGAGGAACCGTTGTGAATTACCTCGTAATAAAATGATAATCTTGTCCATCGGTTTCATCATCGCGCCGGGTGCGAGATGTGTGAGGAATAGCGGCGGCAAATCGCGCCGCATCGCGCATAAGTCGCTGCCGTAGCTCGTGCCGGCCAATATTGGGCGGGCCGATAAGGACAATTGGCCGTTTCCTATTTGGCCGAGGGTAGTATAAAGATACCTCTTCATAAACCACAGGTTCCTCTCCTTAAATATTTTCAATTATAAAAATGATTGAATGAATTTTTTTACTTTTTAGTTATTACTGTTTACAAAAAGTTTATATTTATACTAGCGTGAGAACCCAGCCTTTTCCAGGGTACTCATAATTACTCCCGTCATTTACCCACGCTTTGTCGTAAATAACGATTTTAGTTTTTTTTTCAACATACTCACTCAACATAGAATTTTATATCATTTTTGTTTTTTGTTTTTACAAAATGGTATTTGGGTAATATCCCAGATTCCCAGGTATTTGCAGAATTTTCCAGATTCCCAGGCATTTGAGGAATTCCCCAAATTCCCAGGTATTTGGGGAATTTCCAACTTTTGACAATTATTTTAACTCCCTCGACATAGATATTGAACATCATCAATGAGTGATAAACATTTCTTATGGGTTTATTCGAATTTAAGAGGAAAAAGAATAGTTGTCGGGTAAATTTTTTTTAAAAGGCCGAAAAAACTTTATGATCTCCAATTTGTCATCCTCAAATTGTCGAAAATTACCCATTCCTAAGTTCCCACAAAAAAGAATAGAAAATCAATTTTAACATTTTATGTCCCTGGATATGATTTAATCAAATCAAATCATGAATTATAGTGGTTGCTTGAGGCCTGGAGGATTGTGTAATGGTTTCCAGACCGGATCTGATTTTAATTTTGACATTTACAATAATCCATTCTATTGTTTTTCGATGTTAAACGTTATGATCCCAGCAACACGACCAAGTTTGAGCCAGGCAACAATTTTTAGATCCCACAAAAACGGCATTGGAAATTATCATTAACACTTTATGTCCGCGGATATCATTTAAATACGATACTCCTACCTTCGAAATCTTCATGATAAACTGAACTGTAGGGAACTTCTTTCTTCTTCCTCTTATTAGATCTTCTAAATACAAAACAATTATTAAGGTTAATGTAAAGATTAAAAAAATCATACCATAAGCTAAGGTAAAATCTGCCCCCCCCCCCCCCCCCCATCTTGGAGTGTCCAGACAGCCATGGGACTGACTTATAACTATAAATAGTCATTTTGGGAATAATATTTTAAATTATATCGTATTATACAAAACTAGCCTTAGAGGGCGCTTCGCGCCCATCTTCTAAATTAATTGTGAACATGCCCTCTTTGTGTACATCGTAAACAAAACAAAAATAATTCGCGGATTTTCACAAAAAATTTCGTGGATTTTCAAAATTTTTAAAAATTTAATGACGATCGAATTTTGATGGAGACAAATATTTGAAATTTTGATCATTCATAAACCTTCCCTGGGGTCCCTAGATGTCCCACAAAAAATTTGGGCCCGATCGGTTCAGCCGTTTTGACTTTTATTGGATACAAACAGACAAACAAACAAACAACAAGCCAAATTTATATATAGACTAGAAATTCAAGGCGCTTCGCGCCCTTCTTTCTAGCCTTAAATTAGTTGTGAACATGTTCTTTTTGTGTACATCGTAAAACAAAACAAAAATAATTCGCGGATTTTCACAAAAAATTTCGCGGATTTTCAAAATTTTTAAAAATTTAATGACGATCGAATTTTGATGGAGACAAATATTTGAAATTTTGATTTTTCATAAACCTTCCCTGGGGTCCCTAGATGTCCCACAAAAAATTTGGGCCCGATCGGTTCAGCCGTTTTGACGTTTATGGGATACAAACAGACAGACAAACAAACAGACAGACAGACAAGCCAAATTTATATATAGATGGAGAAAAAAAAATGATTGTGAAACGATAGATGCAGACTTTGTATCAAACAATGTTGGGGTACACAAATGTCAATTAAAATGTATGTGGGGAGGGGGGAGTTACGCCAGAAAGAAGTAAAAAAATTATGATTGTTTTTGAATTTTCAGGTCTCTTATAATAAATGAATGATTTAAATAAAATGGTTTACCTGGCACAGAGAAGACCAGATTTTTGTCTTGACATTCCTCTTTCTCCTGCTCCAACCTCCTCAGCTATAGTCTGCTTCATCTGAACCCTCTGCAACAACAATACAGGGGTGTATATTTTCTCAATACAGGGGTGATTATTTTCTCCGAAACTAATTCCCCCTTCAGAACCTTTTACCCCCCAGAAGTTCTGTATTTTTTTTATAGGGGGTTATCTCTAAACTGTTTAAAATAAATCATGAATAAATAAATTTGCCTTTATATGACCAATTTCCCTTTTACCCCGGATCATCAAAAACTATCCCCCCCCCCC